ACTACTCCACTGAGATGAATACCCTTCAAAGGGCTTAGTGTTTTATGCAGGGGAAGGGAGGGAAGGAGGGAGGAAGGAGCAGGTCCAAGGGACTGAAAAGTCTTTTCCCCTTGGTTTAGAAAGGCCCTTTTCCTGTGTCCAGGAGCCAGGCCCTCACTTTTGAATGATGGTGCCTGAGAATTGCAAGACACAGAAGGCTTCACACGCCAGCCCACACCTTTCTCTTGCATGCACCTCACTGACTGCACATCTTGGTTAGCACCAACGCTGAAGGAAACATTTGGCTGACACTAGTCTCTCCCTTTCAGCACTCTCCAACACTTGATCACAAGCCCTGCAGCCCTGGTAGCACCCACCACTCTCACAAGCTTCCCCTGTTCTCTGCTCTACCGCAATTCTCCCCCCCACCTCTAGTTTTGACTAGATCTAGAGTGGTGGCTGTCCCACTGTTGCCATAAAGGCAGCAGAATAATTTTCACTGCCTTAAGAGTGGTAAATCTGTCTTTAAAAAAATATTGCCTCAAGGATGGCAGGAGATGACGAAGAAATTTTCCAGCCAGTTAGTAGAAAAGATAGTAAGATAATGTGCACCTGGAGATAGCAAGTAGACTGTCGTTTAGAAGCTTTTAACGAGCTGTTCGTCCTTGGTGGTTCATGGATTCAGACCTAAGTGGGACTTTTCTAGTCAAAATCCCCTTAATGGAGATTAGAGGTTACCAAAACACCAAAAATTGTTTATGAAAGGCTGAAAGTGAGCCAAAATTAAATGCGGCAGTGAAAGATTATGACCACCACCTCAATTCACAGCACCAAAAACTCGCCCCACGACACTCACAAGGAGCACGCGTGCTAATTTACATGAGAGGTGAAGCTAATTTTAACATACTGATCCAGTGATGCATGTAACTGTTATCACTAACGAGTAATTGTAGAATTAGTAGCAAATTAAGCATGTTTATAAGTTACAAAATAAATATGTTGCAGTTTTTCCGTGTGGTATGCTAGTTTCATCTAGCATTCAAACCTGGCCAGCTCTGCTAATAAACCAATGTCAGCTTTCTAAACTAGCATTTGGTTTAGAGGGTCACTTCTTTGCAGTTGTGGCTTTCAGCAGTACCACCTTCCATGGAAAAAAAATCCACTATAATCAAAGAGGTGTTAACATTTTTCTTCCTTTTAACCTGGTCCGATATATATTTTTGGGAAACCTTATCCATTAGTTTCTAGGGAGCAGAAATGTGTATGAGTCCTTCCCTGACCGTGAAAACATTAGCTTGGGCAAACGCTGGGCTTATTTCTAGGGCTTCTCAAGAACAACTAATGTTAGCGCTGGAAGAGAAAGAGGGCAGTTTCCTCCACACCAAAAGAAGGACCAGGGAGACAGACACATGGAAACGGCAAATGCGCACCTCCGCAGGCAACTTCAATCCTCCCTGCCCCATTGGTCCTGGGAGCCCTCAGCTGCTCCACCCACCACCCCATCTCAAAGCAAGCACAAGCTGGGCAGAAAAACAGGGCCCTTCCCTCGCACAGGGTTCAGCATCCCTCTATTTCCCTCTTCCTCCTCACAGAGGAGCATACGCAGATCAGCTCCTACCACAGTTCATTAAATCAAGACGACGAGATGAAAGAAACTACCACAGTGAAAAATGTCTCAATACCATTAAGTGAGCTGCTGCCAGCCTCGAGTTTCCATTAACCACCTGCAGGTCAAGAGCTCTGCCCTGCTGCTCACGAGGGGACCAGAGTGGCCTTGAGATGGGCTGTGTGTCACCAGTGGCCTGTCACAGCACTGGAGAGCAGTTGGGCAAGCTGACAGCAGCTCGGAGGGATGACCCCTGCCTCTGCCAGCCCCCTCAGAAGCTCCTGCCCCAGCCCGGCAGCCCTGCACTGCTCCTGACCAGCTGCTGCAGCACACAGGCAGCCCCGGCCCCGGTTTTATTACTGCTCCTTACAGGCACCAGACACCTGATTTTACAGACACCCCCTCCGAGCACTGTACAACAAGAAAGCGCCCAACAGACTGGGAGCCTGTCCTAAAAGTGCTACCAGCGAGCTCCCCCTGGTGAGCTACCGCACTCGGCTCTGCCAGGGAAAAGCCCTTCTGCCTCGCTGGGAGATGGCCATGGAGTCTGTGGGAGAAAAACACCCCAACAAGGTTCTTCAACCACCGAGACCGTGCACTAGCCAGACTAGTCACAGCAACAGCAGAGTTTGCTCCTTGGAGAGCACCACGGTTGCCAGGGCCACTGGAGCACCAGGAGGATGCCAAACCCGGCAGGTGCCCACACCCTCTCTGGTCAGAGAGGGCTTGAAGGAGCACTGGCCACCAGCACGTAACCATTAGCACTAAAACCTATGGGAATTCAGAATATATATTTACACAGATACATATAAAAGGATATAAAGGAATTTAGAATATATGTAAGGATGCTCTTTTCAGCACAGAGTATGAGCATCTGGGCACCCATGACTGTTCCATCGCCCAGCATCCATTTGGTACCCGAGATCTGGGAAGCGGTTTGTCCTTACTTTTAACAGGAGCAGCAATCTGTGCGTTCTTGCGCTTCTCTGGAGGTGGGGGCGTGACAGGAGCAGCACGCCGGGGCTGTGGTGGGATCTATAAGGAAAGATTCAAGAGCAATCAAAGGAAGTTGACAATAAAGACATTCTCTATTATAAAACCTTCTTTTTCACGTGTGTGTGTCTAGATTTGTCCCTACATCTCTCTCATCATTCGGACAAGTTTTCTCAGGAGGACAGATATTAATACGCAGTTTCCTAGAAGAACAAAGCAGGGCTCAGTCTGGCTTCATCCCCTCCCTGTGACAGGCAAAGCCGCCCGTGTTTAATTGCTGTGTTCAGCAGCACACAGCAACGTGTAGACCTGTCAAGCATTTACTCCTCCTTTATTCCAAACATGATCCCACACGCTCACCGTGACTTCACTTTACTCTCAATAGCTCCAAAGAGGCTGCAAACAGCGAGTGTATTTAGACACTCTTCTGGAGAGATCCATTACATCAGCTACAAATACCCTTGCAGAAAGACAAAGCCAAGGACTGGAGACATGTAAATGCCTTTCTCATGCTTTCGGAGGTATTTCTGCCGGGAGAAAACAGGGCCAGGCCTTCTATGCAATCCTGCACTACCTATAGCAAGACACACTGGGTAAAGCTTTTGCCAGGGAGTTGCATTAACTCTCCACATCTGAGGTTTCTCCTCTGCCAGAAATGCCAACCCAGCAGCGTACGAGCCCCAGACCCACACTCCTACACTCACCTTTTCCTGACAGATCCAAACACTATGATCACCAACATCTCTCTCACCCAGAATTACTTTGGAGAGGCGTAACCTCAGGGTGAATCTCTCTGATCAGCAGGATGCCGCTGAACACAGTGGCCAAGCTAGGTGGGAGCACGTTGCATCAGTACTCTAATCCTCACATCCCGGTGGCTCATGGCCAAGAGACTCAGTTCGGGGTCTCTTCTGACTTCTGCAACTTGGAGCTTTCTGCCTGAAACGTGCCTCTGCTTTTGGGGGATACTGCAATTGCTGCCTACAGCAAAAACACCCAGGGCAGAACAGAAAGGGAAAGGAGGTGATGGCCTGAATGTCTCAGGCTGAAGCCAGATGGAATCTATAGTGACATTCAGCCCATCACACAGTGCTGATTTTCCAGTTTAGCCCTGGAAGAGAAATTTTTCTGTGACCTGTCAGTGCTGAACAGCCCTGTAACACTCACACAAGGCACCGAGCACTGCCAGTCCCCACAGTGTAAAACTGAGACAGGTCCCTGAAAGGTCTCTATCTTAAATAGCTCAGTACAAGGAGCATGAAAAATGTATTTTTTTAATTCCTGGATCCAGGAAGGGCAGAAATCTCCTCTGAAATGGGAGCAAAGATATTCCTGTAAATAAAGCACCTTCAGGAGCCACCTCAAACACTCACCACTTGATGCCAAAAGCTGACAATACGGTGCTCACGGCCCATGTCTGCACCCTATCAGGCAAGTATCATACACAGTATCACAGTATGCTAGGGATTAGAAGGGACCTCAAAAGATCATCTAGTCCAATCCCCCTGCCAGAGCAGGAACACCTCGATGATGTTACACAGGAAGGCATCCAGGGGGGTTTTGAATGTCTCCAGAGACGGAGACTCCACAACCTCCCTGGGCAGCCTGTGCCAGGGCTCTGTCACCCTCACTGAGACAAAGTTTCTTCTCAAATTTAAGTGGAACCTCTTGTGTTCCAGCTTGATTCCATTACCCCTTGTCCTATCATTGTTTGCCACTGAGAAAAGCCTGGCTCCATCCTTGTGACACTCCCTCTTTATATATTTATAAGACTCAGGAGTCTGCATAGCTCACAAAGACTTTTAAAAAGGGGTCCCTTAGTCCCCTTCTCTCACCCAACACCTAGCACAGCCAACCTTTTACTATGTCACTTAAGTCGCTTCTATACAAGCGCCTTCAGCTGCTGGATTAGTATGAGGTACAACAGCAGAATCCCAGCCTGAGCTCTTCTGCCCTTGTCAATCCATCCCACACTGTTCTCTGGGCGAAATGCTTTGTGATACTTGCATACAGCTTCAAAAATTACCTGTGCTGGTCCAAATAGTGACTGCACAGCTGAGAGAGGCCAAACCGACCAGGAAGGGGCTTCTGCATCGCGTGGTGGGAAGGCTGGTCCCAAACCTGGAAAGCTCAGCTGTACCAGCAGCAGAGCCCTCTCTGCAGAGCAATGCAGCGAACAGCACAAGTCGGAGCTGCCTGGCACGGCCACAATTACCGAAGCAGCGGGATTTAGCAGACAGGCAGGCTCAGCTTAGAGCAGCCGCATGACATTATTTGGAGACAGCTAGGGTTGGGTCATTCTGGAGCGTTTCCATGTCTTCATTAGCCCTTCCAAATTTACCATGAAAGTTTAACACAGCTATTACAGACTAGTGCTTAAATTAATATATGCAGAGCTAACATTAGCTCAGAGCCCTGCCAGCCTCATGTAGACAGCCACGCACCACAGTTCATGCGGCTGTGCTGAGACCGTGAAGCATCACATCAATTTCCCCTTCCTGATGCCTGCCCAAGCCGTGAGCTGCTGCATGGTCAGGAGTTGCAAGGGGTAACGGATGGGCATCCCCTCCCTCTGCTCCATGTCCCAGCCACTGTGTGGGGCCAAGAGGCAGATGTACAATACCAAAACTCCCCAAGGGAAAGGGAGCAAAGGGGAGAAAACATCCTCCGTCCAGGTGCTGTTGGCAAGATGGCCCTGCAGGAGTCCCCGCAGCTCAGATCCCTTCTGTCCAGAGGGGAGAAGAAGAGGGACATTACCAAGGGTCCAGAGAAAAGCACTTATGTCAAAAGCCTCCCTTTCCCCAGGCCTCTAAAACGGGGGTGTAAACTTCCCCAAATCCATGGATTTTACACATGTGCTTCCTCTCCTTTTCTTTTTTGTAAGGACTGCTAGCAGGGGCTTTGCCCCCTGCACTGCCTGAAATAAGAGCTGACTTAACCACAACACTCCCATTCCCTTCCCAGTTGGGCAGACAGAGACAGCACCACTCCTTCAGCTACTGGGAATAATGCTACTATAGTAGGAACCCTTAAACAAATAGAAAAAAAAACAATAGCAAAGCAAAACAAAAAAACCAACAATCCCTTGTCCACCCCCTCCTCTATGCAAACTGCCAAGCCAGGCTCACTGGCCTGCAGCAAAGGCTTCCCAGACGAGCATCACAAACCCACTGAGCACACACGAATGCAGCAGACTATGACTAAAATACCCTGAGAGCCCAACCTTCTCCCTTGGCAGCTGGTGTGCAACTGTCTCAGCTTCCCCCCTTATGCTGCCTATGGAGGACCTGAGGAGAAGCCCAGCACAGGTGCTACCAGCAAGTAGTTCAGCCAGCTTGGCCCTGGTAGCAAAGTCACTGACAGGAAATTTGCATCTCCAACTTTGCTTAAATTTTCAGATGCAAGCATTGAACATGTCCGAAAATCCTGAGCAGTGAAAAGCACATCCCAAGACCTCTGCTTCTCTGGAGCTGCTGAGAAAGTTAAGATTTCCGCAGGTCCCTCTCAGCCAGATGTGTAACCAGCGGAAGAAAGCAATGCTGTTTCCTCCATTTTGTATTTTCAAAGGACACAGGAAATCCCTCAAAGGAGCTGTTACAATCTCAAGGAGCCCTTTCAGCACAGTGCTAAGCTGCAAGCTCTTGTACTGCATCCTCAGTGCCACCCAGACAGGAACAGTTCTTTGTCAGCCAAGGAATCCGTCTTGCTCCTTTTTGGCAAGCAATCAATCCACAGACTAGAAAGAGATGGGGAATCGGCGTGGAGAATGGGCTGTGAGGTGCTCCATTCACTTAGCCCATAATGCACAGGCTTGAGAATGGAGCTGGTTTGGCTGCCCAGAAAAGAAAACAAAAAACAAGAATGAAAAAGGGGTTTGTAGGGATTGCCATGCTCTGCGTGAGCCAGAGCTACCTTTCATCTCTGCAGACTCACAGCACCTCAGGTGTGAAACAAGCCTTGTCTGCTAGGAGTGACAGTGTACCAGTACCTTACAAACACTGTCTCCAAACATTTAGATGAAGAGATGAAGAAAAATCACAGTACACATGTTCATCTGCAGGAGAGAAAAAATAAAATAAAATCTTTGCCCTCATCCTGCTTGGTGCCTTTAGCACTAACATCCAGCTGTTCCCACACACTGTGATCGGCCATATCACTCATCCCCGACAACTCCTGCATCCGTCCTGGGCTGCGACTCTGAAGCCTCGCTGGCGCCGCACAGTAACCTTGGAACTGTGTGCCGCCTAGATTAAAAAAATATCTGCCTTAAATCATATTTCCTGCAATTTACCTTTAATTCATCATGACAAGCAACATTCAGATAGAGCAGGATCTTTGGCTTCTTTTATGTTTTGAGGAGTGAAAACATGCAGCCAAGCAGACAAAATGCTTAAGGACCCAAGACCCTGTTGTGCTGATTTAAAAGGGGAAAACAAAGCGGTGCTGAATACTCGGAGGGAGTTCTGCTGCTCACGTCAAAAACTGTTTTTCAAAGTACTCTCTGTGGAGCTTGCAACTCTTTTAGAAAGTTGTCAAGATACAGTCACACAATATAAATGGATCTCAAGTGTCACGATAAAATCACAGACCCTCAGGGATCCCAACATCACCATGTGTGTAAATGGCAGAGCGACTGTTCCAGACATCTCACACAGAGACAGCAGCATTTACATTGCAGTAATTCCAAGTAAGCAGCACAAACACTCGACTTGTGACTTCAGCTGCAAAGGCATTTTATTAAACAGGACAAGAGATGTCATACCACCAAAGGAGGAACCTAGAAAGTGTCCAGTCACTGTTACCTGATAAAGACCCTCATCCTCCTCCTCAAACTCGGTGTTTGGAAGACTGTGATGTCGCTCGTATCCGGTCCGGCACACGCCGTTGGGCTGCCGTGCCACATCCAGGTGGTGATCGCTGGAGGACTGTGTCATAACCATCCCCTGCGGGGTGGGGGAGTGACCTTTGCGGGACACGGTCTCCTTCCGGTGATGGATCAGTTTTCTGAAACAGAATGGCAACATCAGCCAAGCTAAAGGAAGGGAGCAACCGTGCTGAAATATTTAAATGATTATTTGTAATGATTTATTGCATTTGGGCTCTATATAATGGATCAGGTTACATTACTCTGAACACCAACTCCAGTTTCATTAACAACTAAGGAAACACTTCTGGGGGAGGAAGGAAGAGACTTTGCAAGAGCCCATGATTTATTCATCAGTTCACTGGAGAAAAATGCCTCTTCCTCAGGGGAGAGCCATGTATTGCATTGTAAGCTTCAGAAATTGCCTGCACTTTAGAACCGCTGTTAACTGAGATTAACCAGCGTGCCTCAGCACAGAGTGTGAGGCGTCAGAAAAAGAACAAAAATCATCTTCACAAGCAATTATCTGAGAACATATTAAGGACCTTGTGTCACACACCAACAACCTCTACAGTTCCTAGCTGGCAGAGAGGAGAAAAATGCATCCAGAAAGGTTTTGGATTCTTCCCCCAAGCCTACAATGCAGCTGAGAGCTTCCTCTTCTTTGCATGGTCAGGGATAGAGGGCAAGCCCAAAGCACTGCTTTGCTGGATGTGGTTGACAGGAGCAGCAGCACCGGCTCCCAGCTCAAACACTGGGAAGGTCCCCGAGTGCATCAGCACTTTGCAGCACAGGGGCTCAAATCAATGACACCCAACTTAACCCCAAGAACAGAAAAGACACAAACATCACACATTGACCACCCTCCATCCACCAGCCCTCCCAGATGCCCGTCATACTTACTGGAGGACATCTCTCTGCTCCAGGTTGTACTTGCCCCCATTCTTCATGGCTGCATTGTGCACGGCCTCAATGGCGCGGTCAATGGACTGGAGAACCACATCTTGCTCCAGCACCTGAGAAACACAACATCCCACACATCACTGGGCAGCTTCAGCTGCGGTTCTTGTGCACCAGAGGTCAGGGCAGGAGAGACCACAGTGTGGGGAAACCCCCAGGGCAGTTACTGCACGAGCCAAGCCAGCAACAAACAGCTCCCAGAGCCAGAATCCCATCTCAGCAGCATCGCACTTCTCAATCCTTCCTTCAGAGGAAACGTATCTGAAGCCATGCTTCAAACTGAGTCTGCCCATTGGAGGTTTACGGTTGGACAAGAAATCCACTGTTACAAGCACCGAAGTCCAATGATCCCTGCAGGAAGACCAGGGACAGAGAGCTTCAGGACCATGCAGCAGCCTGCTGCGGGGAGCTCTCGAGATCTCACTGCAAAGCCTAGCTTATCCCAAGCTGAATCATTTCTGCTCTCACTGCCCTGCTGTGCAGCAGATACACAGCTGCAAATGTTACAGACAGAATTGAAATCTGGGGACCTTCAGAGTCCACTGGCTCTGAGTTTGCATTTTTGCTCGCCTTTTTTCCTGATGGTTTTTATACTTTTTTGTGACTTGAAGTGCCTTTTCCAAATCTCCACCCAAACTGTCATAGCAACACTTATTCCTCCTGCAAACCAGTTTAGCACTCTTTACTGCAGCTGAAATAAATATCAGCCTTGAAACAAGAAATACCAAAGTCAGCATTCCCTGGGCACACACAGGAGGCTGGGAGAGCTGTAGTGAAGGGGCACACTAAAGTAAAAGGTAAGGTAAAGGACATTTCCACACTCGGGACGTTCTTCAAGGCTTTGTTCATCACCAGTTGACACGCCTTCGGAAGAAAAGACTTTTACAGGACTAAGGCTGCAGGCAAAAGGACACGCTACTGAATCTTTGCCCTGGATCCAGCACACCCACAGGTCCCCCATAAGCCGCTACTGGTGCCAGCAGTGTCCATTCGATGCCACCTCAGCCCACGCAGGCGGGGCAGGAGCGGCGTGCTCGGCCTCCAGCGCTCCCTGCGGCTCTTTGAACACTAAACCCCCTCTCTCTCTTCTTTGCCTGCTTTGCCCCCCTCCCTGCATCAGAGCAACCATTTATCCAGCCAAGGAGCGGCTGGAGTCTCATCAAGGATGCACCTTAATTGGCCTTAGGGGGCTGCCGAGCAGCAGAAGGCAAGCCCTCCCTGCCGGCGCCCAAACTGCCTGCCTCCACAGCACGGGCATGCAGTTTTCTGATAACACGCTATGTATTATTTATATCCTGATTAATTACTAAATCAAATGTGAATTAACAGCTACTGCAGACTATGGGGAAAAAAACAACTTCCAAACAAGGTGGTGATGAGAAGTCCTCTCTGCAATACAAAGCTTTGAAAAAGAAAAAAATTTGGGCTTGTTTGGTGTTTTGTGTTTTTTTTTTCTCCCCTGTTGTTGTTGGTTTACTTTCCCAAGGAAGAGAAACGGGGAAGAAAGCAACTAGGGAAAATTCAGAAATAAAACCAGGTACGTTACAATTCATCTATCAAACTTCTTAAAGTATCAGATCAAGGATGAAACCAACACTTAGAAACCAGCTCTGGGACGAAGACTCCACGCAGCCCCATATGGCCTAGCGAGCATTTCATCACCTCCAGCTACAGATCCAAGTACGGAAGTGGAGCAAAGCGCATTTGAACATATTTATAGGAGTGTTGGAAGAAAAGGCGAGTAATTCGAGAGAATGCATCTCGTTTTCGTAGAAGATGAGAGAAAATTACGGCAAGCTGTGTGCTCTCCCTGGGAAAGCAGAGCATCGCAGAAGACTCCAGCACTGCGGTCCCCAGGGGAATGTCAGGGCTGCTCTGAGCGCCGCTCCCATCCCAGAATTCAAGCACAGATCCTCCTACAGCTTCCAAACGCCTGCCCTGACACACTCCCTGGTGCCCCACTTGTAGTCCCTCCACATTCACCCCCTCCAAGATGACCCCCTCCCCGAGATGCACCCCATCACACCAGCCCACCAGGCTGTCACCCACATGGCTTTCAACCCTTTCGCAGTCTGATCTGCCCAGGGAAGACTGTGGTACGAAGTGCTGAATCCTACTGAACGGCTCAGTGCCTCATCGTCCACAGCTCACAGGAATCCAGAGGCTGGAGCTGCCGTGCGGTGTCATTTGTTATGTCTTTTCTGATAAAACACAGCATTTTCACACTAATGCAGTAGTGCCATGACAGCCGGCTTTCAGCTGCTGCGCTCTCCCCTTTGTTTCTGCTCCTCAACCCTCTATTAACAGGGCCCTGTCAAAAGAGCTGGAATTAAAAAGCAGCATTAACTTGCCACTTGCACCTTATGACATTGTTGATGCTGCTCGTAAATAATTTTCTTCTCCCATGCTCAGCTGAGGCAGGCAGGCAGCAGGGTCTTCAGCACAGGGGCTGCCCTGCATTCAGGGTTTGCAGGACACCCAGCGCTGGGGATCCCAGGCACTACAGTTGTAAACTTAAAAATCAGAAATCAGTACCCTGGTTAAATCATGTGAATAGAAGGAATTTGCACACTCCTCAGGTCAACCCAAATGGCATCGCCTGCTTTGAAGGGGATGGACAAAAAAGCACGTTGCAGTTAAAAGGAGCAGGAGCGAAGGTCAGGTTTGCCAACGTGTAACCTACAACCTCCTTCTCCCTAGGGCTCAAGGGGTTACCTGCTGAGGGCAAATCAGGACGATGCACATGCCTTGCAGCAGTTTAGGGACCCCAGTCGCTCAGCAGCACTCCCACCTGCACCCAGTGCCTGCTCCCAAGGACGAGGACGCTGGCAGCAGGGAGGCAGGTGGGCAGCGATGCTGAGCGAGACAGCCCGGCAGCGCACGCCCACACCTTCTCACGGGCGGTGCTCACCACGTACGGCTTCACGATCTGCAAAACAGAGGTCACAAACCGGCACCGAGGTGATGGAGCAGAGCCTCTGAGCTCAGGCAGGAGGGATGGGAGCTCAGAAGTCTGCTCTCGCCCCTGCGCTGCGATCCTGCCCCTCCTGTGCTCCAGGATACAGAGATGAAACCCTGCTCATCCCGGGCTAAGCTAAGGCTCACACGGAAGCAAGGGAGCACATGAAAAGGGCATCGCTGTGCAGCGTGCTGTCAGAGGAGAGGCACCAAGTAAAGCCCAGGAATTCAGCTGGATTTACTGAAGCTGTGCTGGTAACCACATGAGTAGGGGCTGGCAGAGCCCCGAGAAACCGTGACAGCACGCTGGCTGTTAACTATATCCTTCACCAGTTACCAGTGGCACAGCCACAGCAGCATCTTCTGAAAGGAGAAGATGGTGGGCACAGGGTGGAAGGTACTGACCATAGGTGCCTGCCCTTACAGGGTGAGGGCAGGGGTCTCCTTGGTCGGTGTGGGGTGTCACAGCTACGGGCCTGCAACCCAGAAGTGTCACCAGGACACGTACCATGAAAATAGAGGGGTATTTTGGAGACATATCAATTCACATTCACATGGCATCTCACTCCAGAAAGGAGTGGCTGCTGCCTCCTCTATCAGGTATTTCTGGTTTAACCCAACAAAACACTGCAGCGGAGAAATGCTGGGCTCTACAAGCAGCCTGTCACAACCAGCCTGGTGACACCGTGGGGTTGGGGAAGAGCAGGGCAGTGATCCTTGATGATCACGGGCCAGACTGGCTGGTGGGGCACCGCACCAGAACTGGGGGCGTCGTTGGAACCCTGCAGGTGAGCTGCCCTGAAGGAACAAGTTACAGCTCAATTACAGCCATGAATATCAGCTGGGAAATAGAATTTCTTCCTTCATAGCCCAGTGTAGGAGAATCACAGAAGCATCAATAAATCATTACTTCCTCTCTCCTTGCTAATAACATGAGCAAACAAAGGGTTTCCCCAGAGCCTGCTGCCAATTTCCTCCTGCCCAAAGCTGCAGGAGGGGGCTCCCCCCACAAGGAGGGACAGAGCCAGATCTCAGCATTGCTCTGGGGTGCTTTGTGTGCCCCTCTCTCCTGTGGCAGGCACGGAAGGATGCCGTTCCCAGGGCTGAAGCTGGGCTTTTAAGAAACATCCTTCCATGATGCCTGGTGCGTACCCAAGTGAGCCAACACGGGGCTGGGCCATGCACAGGCAGGAACACATCCAGCCCTGCGGCTCCCACTGCTCCCATCTTCCTGCCCACGAGCAGCCTCCCCAAAGAGAGCACAGGCGCACAGGACGCGTCTCATGCCTCTGCTTCCCCACGTATGGGCCGATGAGAGACTCGAGTGTTTACGAAAACACCACCAGTGTCCTTCTGCGCAGGCAGCATGACCTGCCCTCCCCGGGCTATGGAAAAATGCAGCTCCCCTCTCTCTTTTGGTTTGAGTCCTTCCGCACGTACCAGCAGCGTTGTTTAAATAACTCACACAGAAGAACTTGCTCAACAGTCTAGAATAATCATACCTTTTGGCAAAGCATTTTCTAGACAAACAGACTGACAGCTACATCAGCGCAGACAGGCTGAGCCATCCTGCACGTTTGAGACTCCCACATTTATGAAAGTGGTCCATTAATGTATGGCAGGCTTTTCTTTGCCTCCACGGGGGGCTGATCCAAGAAAATATGGCTTTATTGTTTTTTTTTTACTCCTGCCTCCCCAGGTTTTAGTGATGAAAGGCATTTGCTTTTCCACACATGCAGGAATCAGTGCCCTCAATTCTGAGGCTGCTTTTGCGGCCACAGGGGTGCCTGGGCAGGGCTGATGATTTTCACCCTCATGTCACTGCTCTGGCTCTCACAATACAACAACAAAAGACAGACCAAGTTTTGTCTCCAGTGACAGCTCAGTTTTCCACACAGCTGCACTGACACGGACCACTGCTGAAATTAGGATATTTATCCCGCTGGCACACACAGGCACAGGCTGGTTCTTTGTTACTCAAATCAGAGAGGAACGCCACGCCACCTCTTCGGTCACATGCCTTTCGTTCCCAGTCACCGCCAGACTGTCTGCACGCTGTACTCCTTCCAGATTTAAATGATCGCGACAGCAATTTACAAAAATCAACCAGCCTTTGTCCGCAGCAGTGATGTACCAGATAAGAGTTCTCCCTTCTGAACCACGCAGCTCAGACAAATGGGCTGAGTTCTGGTTTTTGTATCAAGTGGGAAATTCAGCTCCTTTCTCTTTCCCTTTTTGCAGCTGCAGTCCGGAATTCGTAGTCCTCAGTCCAGAATTCATAGTCCTCAGGCTCTTGGCTAACAGATAGGCATTAACTCATTCTTGTCAGCATGAAGATATTGTGCCTCGCGGCACTTAAAAATGCACGATAAAAACACGAGTGAAACAACAGGCAACTGTCCTGGTTCCTGAGCAAGTAAGATGAGAAAAGCTCCAAACAAACCTGCAGCATCTCTGACTCGCTAGCGAGCAAACAAAGACATGGCTGAGCTCTTCTGACAAAGAGGCAGCCCAGAAACAGATCAGGAATTCCTG